AAGTAACCAAGACAGCTCTTGAGAGAACTTCATCAGTGTTAAGTTTTTTCGAAGCAACGTCTGTTAATCTTTCAGCCTTCCTCACATGATAACACTTCCCTCAAAGTTAGTATTTTCTGTGAACCAGCCTTCTCGATGAGGATCAGAGGGGTGTGAGGAAGATAGTAGAAAACTCAGAATATAGTGGTTCCAGCTCAGATCTCATTCAACATGTTTTCTGCTTGACTACTAGATACCACACGGATACCTTGCCGGTATTTGAAAATCATTTACTTCCTACTTGGAATTATCATCAAAAATAAAACAATAAGAAGCAGATGGAATATCCCAGGTTATCTAATGTGGGGCTCTGCTGGTGAGGTTGAAGTCTGGCACTTTTTGGATGGTTTCTGAGCTCTGTATAAAGATAACTGATTCCCTTTCTTGGTGGGGTGCCCTCTCAGAACCCTAAAAACCTCTCAGGAGCATCACATAGTTCTCAGAGAAGATCACAGCCCAGACCCTTTCCTGATAAGAAAACCTGTTAATCAAGCAAGCACTAGGGATTCCTGGAGATACCCTCCCTATGTTCATTTAAAATTATATATGTCTATGCTATGTGTTAAGTACATTCTTCCTGTCTATTCCTCCTTTTTCTTCTCCTTTTTCTTCTTTTACCTCCCCCCCCAGATTGTTTACTTCTACTTTGAGCATGCATGTATCACATGATTTCATGCGTTCACTCCTTGTGTAATTCTTTATTTTTCAAACGTCTAAGGGGCTTGTTTAGATCTGAGGTGTTCATAATTGTACCTCTAATTCTTAGCACACTGATTGATGCAGAAGAGGTGCTCAGTCAATGAGTGTTGAACAAATCAATCACTGCAGATGTTTAGTTCTTATTAGATCAATATTGCAATATATTTTAGAGTAAGTCTTAGATTTTTTTTCCACCCATCATTTACATTTTTCTAGTTCATTTTTATTCATTCCAAAATCTGATCAGTCTAGTCTTTTGTTTAAAACTGCTAACTGTGTGTATGTTTTCTGGCGAGACAAGGAAATATCTATTCATCCCAGATATGACCCAAGCAACAGACCAAAGAAAGGAATTGATGAAAAAAATGAACATAAACTAGAATTATTTACAAGAATGTGACTTAAGGTATACTCACAGAAGCATACGAAGCTTAGAGGCACCTATACCATTAAGGAAAGAATTCTCCCTCCCCAAAATGGTTACACATCCATATACACTTGGGTAGCAGTGGGCTTTATAAGCCCTCTCTCTTAGTAACTGTTGTCTAAGTCCCTCCAAAAGGCATGGCCTTGTGAGCCACAGCTCCGTGACTGAAAGTAATAAGCCTAATCTTGTGCAGATGACTTTTGAGCAATATCTGCTGATTGTTCAAATAGGCAACAGCCATGGCAGGCCTGTAGTCTAGAATTCCATAATACAGCATTAGAGTGCTCTCCAACCTTCCAAATGAAGAAACACTCTTTTTTTTTTTACAACTGTGTAGTGAATACATACTATGTACTAAGGAATAGAAAACACAGATAAAGTAATCAGGGTGTTGAAATTTACTGTGAATAATAACTAGGAAACAGTTACAGTGAAATATAGTGGTCTAAGGTAAAAGAGAACTAAATGTAGGGAAGACACTGAGAAAGGTTTCTTGGCCCAGTGCAGACAAGACATGCTTCTAAAAAGTATTCCCAAAGATAGAATAATTGATGGGTTTAAAAAGGGAGCCAGGACATGAGAGAATACTTAAGTGACATTTATGCTTAAGGGCCCTTTGTGTTTCAGACATCTACTGTGTCAAATTCTAGATACCCTGTTCTTGAGACAGGCAACTTCAAACTTTCTAAAAAGTTTGATGCTGTGTCCTTTGAAGTTGCTCTGTCTTATTGCTCTACTGATCCAGAAAACAAGATTCTGTTCTAGCAGCAATGCAATGACTCCTAGGAATATTCCGCTATGTCTGTAGATTAGTATCTTACTGAGGCATCATTAGAAAAGTGTCCTCCTGCAGCATATGGGTAGTACACAATGTGCAGAGGGTAGAGAGAGACCTTTGAACACTACATCCTAAGTGGAACACCTTCATTGAACCCACAAGGCTCAGGGAACTATGAAGAGAAGGCAAAAATTGTGCAAGAGCCAGAAGGGATGATGGATGACACCAAGGAAACCATTTCTTCCTGACTCAGCATGACTGAAGTACAAACAAACAAACAAAACAACTCATGGAGATGGTGGCAGTGTGCACAGAACCTGCACAGGTCCAAGCTAGATGGGATCCCAGCACTGAGAGGGAGAAGAAGTCAAAATCTCCCATTCCTAACCAAGAAGCTATCTCTAATGAAAATTTAAAAAAAAATAGTTTTCTCCAGGGGAATCTCATTGGGTTTCCAAGCCACACTTAAGGTCAGCTCCATGGCCCAGAATTAAATGACCAACTCAAAATGAACTCAACAGTATTTTTATTTTATTTTATTAATTTTTTGTCTCTGCTTTCTTAGACATTTATTTACCTTACTGATCTTGACTATTATGATTTCAGATTTCATGTTTATACGGGTTTTTTTTTATATATATATGAGTCTCTGCATATGTATACATTTTGTGCTTTTGTTGTTTGGAGGTTTTGAATTTTGCCTGTTTGTTTTCTAAAGACAGAAAAAAAAGCAGGGAGTAGGACAGTTGGGGATGGGGGAAGATAGGGGAAGAGATGAGAGAGGGGAACCATGATTAGAATAGATTATATAAAATATTTTTATATTGGATAAAAAAGATTCTGCTTTGGTAAAATCATGTAGGTGTTATTGTCTTCTTTCTCTACTGAACAAACAGTATGGCCCTCAATTGAGGAATGGATACAGAAATTGTGATACATTTACACAATTAAATACTACTCAGCAATTAAAAACAAGGACATCATAAAATTTGTAGACAAATAGTGGGATCTAAAAAAGATCATCTTGAGTGAGGTATTCCAGAAGCAGAAAGACACACATGGTATATACTCATTTATAAGTGGATACTAGACATATAATATATGATAATCATATTAAAATCTGTACACCTAAAGAAGCTAATCAAGAAGGAGGACCCTGGGTAAGATACTCAATCTTCATTCAGAAAAGCAAACAGGATGAACTTTGGAAGAGGAGAAAACAGGGAACAGGACAGGAGCCTACCACAGAGGGCCTCTGAAAGACTTTACCCAGTAGGGTCTCAAAGGAGATACTGAGACTCATAGCCAAACTTTGGACAGAGTGCAGGGAATCTTATGAAAGAAGGGGAGAGATAGAAAGACCTGGAGGAGACAGGAGAACCACAGAGAGGAGAGCAACAGAACCAAAAAAATCTGGGCACAGGGGTCTTTTCTGAGACTGATACTCCAACCAAGGACCACACATGGAGATAACCGAGAACTCCTGCACAGATGTAGCCTATGGCAGCTCAGTCTCCAAGTGGGCACTATAGTAAGGGGAACAGGAGCTATCTCTGACATGAACTCAGGGGCTGGCTCTTTGATCTCCTCCACCTGAGGGGGGCAGTGCAACCTTACCAGACCACAGAGGAAGACAATGCAGCCAGTCCTGATGAGACCTGATAGACTAGGGTCAGATGGAAGGGAAGGAGGACCTCTCCTATCATTGGACTGGGGGAAGAGCATAGGGGAAGAAGAGGGAGAAAGAGATTGGGAGGAGGTGGGGGAGGGGACTATAGCTGTGATATAAAGTGAATAAACTGTAATTAATAAAAATTAAATTAAAAAAAGGCAGCTTGAGATTCTTTTTAGACCATTCCTTTCCAGAGAGGTTCTTCCAGTTTTCCAGACATTATCAAGAGTTCACTAGATAGCATTAGCTTGAAGATGGAGATCCCTGCCCCCTCCGCACAGCTGCTTTCTATTGATCCACTAAGCTGTATGATCAGTCCTTTGCAGTTACTTGTGACTTATCAAGTTTTATTTGCCTTATTTAATTGCAAAGTATTGCTTTTCAGTTGTACTAAATACAGAGATCCAAATGTTAGGTTCAGATTTAATTTAATATAGTCACTTTAATTAAAAAAAAAAAAAAAAGAGAGAGACCAAGCAAGAGGAAAATATCTGACCTTCAGTTGCAAATGTGTCTTTAATTACTAGCATGGTGTCCTTGGGTTATTAAATATTTATGTTTGTGTGTGACTATAGACAATGCAACCTTAAGATGCTGAACTATGCATGCTATTAAGATTGTATGCAATTGTAAATTACATGTTCATTAATTGGTAAATATATTTTCTAAATACAACCACACTAATGACAAACCAGACTAAAGTAGCAGTACAGAAAAACTTATTAAAAATAACAATTTAAGTATGTCTTTATTATTACAGAATTTCATGATGAGTAATCAGCAAAAACTAATTACAAACTATATCACTATTAGAGTGAACATTGACTTTTCTCAGCCATTGTAGTTGCTTTATCTATTTATGGATATTAAGACAGCAAAATAAAAGTAAAATTCAGTACTATTTCAATTATAAAATTCATAGGATGTCAGCTTTTATTTTTGTAACAAGTCATCGAACCAAATATATTTAATGTTAATGATTTGTTTAATGACTGGACACTAAGTAAGAATGTGCAAATAATGACTTTATTCAACAGTCTCTCATTATCATTTTAATTTTATGAAATTAATGGCAAACTATAAAGTTGTTCAAAAAATGCACACACTAACTAATGATGAGACATATTATGGGATAAGTTGATATGTGCCCTCATAGTGTTCAGGCAGAAATGCCACCTTTTACACGATACCTTTTACCTTTAAAGGAAATGTTACCAACCTGTTGTGACACCACTTCAATTATGCTATATTACCCTACCATATATTGTTAGACATAATGACCCATATAATGTAATATAGTCAAATCCATCTTAAGTTCTATTATTGGAAAATGTAATTATTCATTGGTTGACTACAAAGACTTGCAGTTTATAATGATCTCTGGCTCACTGAGTGATGACACTTCCCGCTATTTCCATGGATGAGGAATCTCTCTTTTTGCTTGATATCCTGTAAAAGAGAGAGAGAGAGAGAGAGAGAGAGAGAGAGAGAGACAGAGAGAGAGAGAGAGAGAGAGGGAGAAAGTTAATATGCCAGTATCAGTTTCTTATAAATGTGCATGCTTATTCTTGGGGATGTAGTCTTTGTTGAGAGATGGGAATAATGAAGTTTTTGAATGTAAAGCTTCAGGAGTGGAATATTCTAAGGCTTCCTAAGGACTATCACATATTTTCTCCATGACTTCCAAACAATCTTATTTAATGGCCAATTTTCAAGTAGGTAACTTTTAAGCTATGTTTCTTTAAAACTTCATTTAAGACCACGTATTTTAATTTGGCAATGACTGTACAAAACATGTGTGAAACTCTTCATGTTGGTGAAGATATGATATCTACAGTGGTTAAACTGGCTTTTGGGAATATGTAACTGAAATCCGTTAGGAGTATTCTCTAATTTTAGATTGGGAGATAAAGGAAGTTTTGTGGTTGATAATGTATGTTTTATTCTGTCCTATTCATGATACCTTTGATTTTGGCATTTTTAAAATTCTGGGTCTTGTTACATAACACAGTAAATTTTAAATTATACAGAAAATAACTTTTACTTAGTAGTATGGATAATTTACCTTAAATATGTGAATTACCAGCTAGCATATGACTCAGGGGTAGAGATGTTGCCTAGCATGGAGTGGGGTACTTAAGTTCAATCCCCAGTGCCACAGAAAACAAAAACAGACCATAAATATACATTGGAGTAAATCAAGAGGTTGTGTAGAATAATAACAGCCGCTCTTTCTGTCCTCTGGAAAAAAGTGCATTTTGCTCGAGAGAGAGAGAGAGAGAGAGAGAGAGAGAGAGAGAGAGAGAGAGAGAAAATCGTGGCTAACTCATGGGGAACTCCAACACATTGTGTATTTCTGGTACAGTTTTGCACGAGAGGTGTCATGAGCCCATTTAGCTAATATCAACTTTGTATGATGCATGTGGTTAAAATTAAAGATTAAGAACCATCTATGTATGGGTTTTGCTGGGATAGCAAACTGTGTTTCTTCAAAACAGTATGCTTCTCATGAAATAGAAGAGTACTTGAGAGGTGATTACAAATATTTTAAGCCACACAAAGGAAAGTCAATTAACTGTCTACCATTAGAAACTGATTTCAGTTATTTGGACTTCAAAAAAATATATTGGAATCCATAGAATATCTTTTTAGACAATGTTTAAGATCTTGGAGACGTCAGTTTGTTTTGGCACTGGTTTTGGTAGGTGTTAAATTAGGTGTTTAGAAAATGTTAAACATTTATAAGGGTTGAAGCCAACCCTTATAGTAGTAGATACGTTTTTAAAAACTTTGTTGCATTTAAAAATGAATGAGCTTGAGTGACCTTAGGCAAAGCATCTATTTATCATGTACATGGTTCCTTGCTATAGCTGTATACATCCTTACTTCAGTTTTTCAAAGGACCTGCCTCGTTGTCAAGACCCCTAGTTGGATTTCTTAGCTTGCTTCTGGGACAGCAATATGTATACATATCCTATGCAGGTGATTGAGAAAAAAACCTTCATTTGTAGTCAAATGTGAAAATAAACACATGTAAAGATATATGATACTCAAAGTAAACACACAGATGAATAAATATATAAAGAATGAGAAAGTGAACACGAAACTTTATATGAGGTTGTCCTTTTAAACTAAAAGTAAGAAAGTTACCTTCCTGTCAGTAACAAATAAGTTAGAATATTTTAAAATTCAGAGATTTAAAAATATAAAAATTGACATATCCTGGCAATGAACAGCTAAGGTAAGGAAAAGGACTTGCAAAGAGCACATTAACATCAGATAGTGGCTCACTTTTTATAGATCTGACATGAGGCCTCTTTGATTATGTCTTTCAATAAAAATACATTAAAAATTGAGCAAAATTTACCAATATAAAAAAAGCTACAGTGATGAATATGTGGTCAGGTAAATATAACTGAATACAATATGTGACTTCTGTGAGTTGATCGGTTTTCTAAATAATGTGAACTGGAAACAGCACAGTTCATTTTGTTATCAGGTAAAAGACTGATAAGCATTTAAAAAAAAATTGGAAGGAACCCATAATCCATATGTACTTGTAAATGCAACATTAAACCAATTACCTCTGGTCACATTTTCCCTACATGGAAGACTAAAAAGAACGTTTCCATAGACCTAGCCCACATGAAACTATATTTAATACCTTTATTCCAAGGTCTGGATTTTGTCCGCTCCCTCCCTTCTGAGTTACATTTGCTTACCTCAGCTTGAGCATCACCAAGAAAAGGATTCCACAGGACACTGCCATGCACACGACAGCATAGATTAGTTCTCCTGCAAGGAAAGCGTAAATGTTGTTTTTATTTCCTCAGATGAGAGGATGAGGTGAGAGCCATTCCCAAACCTTTCTAGCTCTTGCTGAACTCTGGCTGGTTGGTTCAACTCAGCTGTTCTGGCCTAACCTTCTCTCCAAGCTGACTGATTCAAACTGGCTTCTCACTGAATTGCTCTGCCTGGCATCAAACTAATTCTGGCAATATATTATAATCTTTGGGCTTTTTTTTTTTTTCTCATTCTAAGGCTCATTCTGTCTTCACCTTTGTCTACCTTATTTTCTCTGCAACATGTCTCTGTAAAACTGTCCTGGTAATCACTTCCTGGTTTTTAAAAAAAAAAAAAAAAAAAAAACTTGCTTTCCCTGTTTTGCTCTTAAGTAGCCTTTCGTTTTTCTTTTCTCATGAGAATTGGGTGCATCTTGTCTCTGATGCAATTCTGTCAAATCTGTCTTTGATTCGTCACTTTGTCTGCCCCTCACTTAGATGTCACTTTCAAACATGGCTGCTTCCTTCTATAAGCTAGCCTTACCTCAATGTTTGGGATTAAAGGTGTGTGATAAGGGCATGCTTGCATTCCAGCCAGATCATGCTGTAATCCAGAGTGTGTCTGTGTTCCAGCTGGATCACATAGACCTAGAAGGTCTTTGGATGTGATCCCTTGCCAGAGCAGTCATGTTGCTGGATTAAAATTCCTCTACAGGAAAAAAATAGAAAGTCGTTTGCTATGCTAATGTGGATGGGGTTTGAGGTGGGGTCTATGGGGTGGAGACTTCAACCTATTAAAGAACTACTGGCAATTAAGGAATGCCGAGAGCATGAGAAATGTTCATGCTCATGAGTGCAGATTGGTTACCCAATACCAAATGGTCAGTACTGAAAACATACATGCAAGTACCCTGCAGGCTGAGGAGGTTATATTAGTAATATATGTGTATATTCTTATATGTATGTACCAACAATTAATGCATAAAGAGGCTATGAGTTTGAAAAAAAGAAAGACGAAAGAAAGAATGAATAAATGAAAGGGTATATGGAAAGTGGAGGAAAGAGAAAGGGAGATGATGTGATTATATTATGATTTAAAAAAATAAGATATTTTATAATTCACTGGAGTTTTAGAGACAATAGCATCATTTTCATAGAGAATTTTAAACTGACCATTGAAAGGGGAATTGAATCCAGTCAGAGTAATTTCCTTTGGATGTTTTCTTTTATATGAGGAAATGTCTTTGGCATTAGGAGTTGGATAATCTGAAAGAAAATATTAAAAAATGATATTGAAGCATTTAAAATTATACTGTGGCTTTATCAAATTGTTATAATTTGTTTTATATTATATTAAATGACAGCAATCCAGTTCCTTGTCACCATTTTCATAAGTCCAGTGATATATATGGAAGTGGGAATGCCAAAAGTGAGCTTGACCCTGCCGTGTTGAATCAGCTAATTACATTATGAAAACCTTTCCCTACAAACCATGATAAGACAAAAAGACCCTACTTTATAGTATAATTCACAGAGCCGTGCACATGGAGGAGACAGACAGAAGGCAGTGATTTGAGGCTTCCTGTTTGGATACTGAAGATTTCTTCTTTACACAAGTGACTATTCCAATGTGTTTTAAAGATATCACATTTTCTTGAGAGCCACCAATAAATGGCTTCCTACAAAGGAAAGTCTCTAAACATGCTGGTGCTCCCTCAGCTTAGATGAGAGACCTGACTGCTTTTCCACAGCTATATCTCCTCTGTACTCTTACCGTTCTTCCTTCCCACGTCACCAACTGGAAACCTCTAGTTCCTGCTGTGGAGACTGGGCTTTTTGCCTTCCTGCAGGATGATGGCTGCCTTCCCTGGGGATTTAAGTACTCTTGGACATCTCTGGGGATATAGTCCTTCTAGGTGCTACTTGCCTCACTACTCTGAAAGCCATGCTTCTTTGTGGCCAGTTCAAAAACTAGATATTTTTTTTATTGTGATGTATATTATTTTTACTAACTTCCCCCTTTAAGGAGATAAAATATTGATGAATAATTAAAGGATCCATTATAGTTTATTAATCACAGATAGCATCAACTGAATGCAACAGAAATAAGAATGCAAAACAAAATACCAGCAAATTTGTTTGGTGGCTCAGATTGGCATGGGTGCATTTAAGAAAAGGCAGTTGAAGGAAACCGTCTACACAGGAAAGCTTGGCTATCCTTTATTATAAATTGTTCCACTCATTTTGGGAGCTAGAACTATAACTGTGCATAAATTGGGATTTATTTTTAAAAAACAATATACAAGCTTTTCAAGACTGGGGAATTTATACTCAAAGACAACTGAATGCAAGGCTTTCAGAAAGCAGGGAGATAAGATGTAATATTGAAGGTTGCAGCCTGTCTTCCCTCCATGTATCCTGTTGCCAGGCTTATAATCTGTATGTTACTAATCATGGATACATTGAAATATTCAGTAACAGAAATTTCTGGGTGGATCAGAAAGAAGCTCCAAGAACAAGAACAACAACAACAAAAAGGTGTAAGAAATGATTTGGCATTAGAAGTGTATTTTCAGGAACTCTAACCTCCAATGCATTGACAGAATTTTTAGTTCATACTCTTTTTCATCTCCAGGTCTTACCAGTTGAAAAATATACCTCAGCAGAGTCCAAAATGAGCAGGTGTACAACTTGGGCATTTTTATGTCAATGAAACAAATGTTGTTATTTCTGTTATTACATTGAACTATTTATACTAATGGTCCTTGAGGGGAAGAATCAATTATGATCAAGTTGCTCATACAGGCTTTCAGTAAAATAAGAGACAATGAAATTATATTTACTACATATAATATTAAAACAAAAGATTTAAAGAATTTTTTATAGCAGTTTTGGTAGTTTTCATGGACTTGTTGCGAGTACATACACACACACACACACACACATATACATACCAATATCTGCCTGGAAAATCTATTCCTAGGGGTGCTTGCTTTGATTAGATATCACATTTTAACTCATCTTTGAACATGAAAATTCTGTTATCTGACAAATTACGTAATCTTTTGTATACAGAACTAAGGTAACTACTTAGTGCCTAGAAAATATAGAAGAAAATATTTTATTCAGGAAGTTTAATTCCCATGGTACCTATGAACATAGTCTAAAAAAATAGTGACAGAAATATTAGCAATCATGCCAGGGAAAATGTATTTACTAAACATTGTCCCCTGGCAGAACATTGAGTGTCAGCAAGAAAGATTAGTGTTACCAAAGGTTTCTTGGCTACTGAGACCCAGTGTGTAGTCTCCCTTCACTTCTGTAAGTTGTGGAGACATGTACCACAAAACCGAAGTTGCTAGAGTTGATAGTTACCCTCAGTCCCATATCATCTGTTTCATTTATTATAACTCACATTAAATGATTTTTATTTTATTACAAAAATCTAGAAATCTAGATTTACTTTAACACTCTACCAAAAACAAATTTAAAATAATATTCTCTCCAGAAATATGAAAAATTCTGTTTGTTGTCTTTTAGAGTTCTCACAGACACTGGGGGTGAGTCCCATGTACCTTTTCAACACTGTGTACAACTGGTCAAGGTGGTTGTGTCTCAGCAAATCTCCTCCTCCCTCTATTCTCATCCTTTTCTCAGTAACGTATTTTTAGGTATCTTCAGAAAACTCTGTGATATGCCATTCAAGTATCAAGAATCAAGTATCGAGGGTTTTGAACAAGCTGTTACACTGAAATTATATTTTTCAAGACTGCTTAAACTCAGTCATTTTCCATTTATTTTCCACTATTGGCTCTTCTTTCTATCTCACATGTCTAACTGCCAGAATCGTATAAAATACAGTACTGAAAAAATGGTTTTAAGTAAATTGCAGAATACCCAGCTGTCTTCTTTTATATTTTTTTTGCATATCATACTATCAGCAACACCACACTAAATTTAGATTTCTTTTCATTAAATTAATTTATTTCATTTACTTTTTGTCACAGTAAGTGATGAAACCATCTGATATTATTAAAACAATCTGGAAAGAATCCTACTGCTTCCTCTTTCTCAGTTACAGGCCACATTGGCCAATCACTCAATCTGATTTTACCAAAATACAAATCTGAATTCTGTTTTTTATTTCATCTACCCAATAAAAAACATCGTCATATTTCATCAGAAGCACACTAATAAATATTCCCAGCATGGTGAATTTATCTTCCTATTTCTGATCCTCCTGCCTCTCATCAGCAGGAAACAGAATGATCCATTTCAAAACCAAAGCAAAGAGTGTGCAAAGTTTAAGCCCAGGGACTCCACACTGTTTAGGATCTCCTACAAGGACAATGGTTATCTCAGCACCACACCTCACCTTGCCTGTTTCACTCTAGCCTTCCCTTCTCCCCACCACCTTTCCTTTCTTCCTTTCTTCTTTGTCAAACACATGGCATTTATTGCTGGATCATTTGACATTTTCTCTTGTCTCTTTCTATACCACACTTCTCTTTCAAGTGGCCACTCAAAGGACAGCTTCTTGGAGAGATCTTGTGCAAATTTTACTGAAGTGGATCTATTGTTGTCTATTTTAGAAACCTGACTTCAAAAGGCACATTATTTTGAAAGATTTTTAGGTAGCAGCATTTTTAAACTATTCTCCATGCAACACTAGGTCTGTTTACCTTCAGACTAAGAAAATATAAGGTGCCAGAAGAAAAAAAAAAAAAAGTCTGTTCTAAGAAAACAAATTACTTGCAGTTCTATGATGCAAGTGTTTCTCAGTGTGTTTGTTTGTGTGTGTGTACATATAATGAGCTGAAACACATTAATTAAAATTAAAGTTGTCTCCCCTCTGGCAATGGACAAAGAGATACCTCGTTGGTGGTGTTGGTCTTATATCCACTAGGGGCAGAGCAGATGGCAGTCCTAGCTTGATGCCTGGCTTGGTGACCACAGCTATTTTATGCACAGGGCACATAAAAAATAATCAATCAAATTAAATCAAGACAGCACCGCATAGGAGGAAGAAGACAGAGACCTGCGTGAGTATGTGGCGCACAGATAGGAGAGAAAGAGAAGTAGAGCAGTTTGAGTCTCATGAAGAAGGATGGGGCTGTGGTGGAGAGGTGTAGCCTGCTGTGGGTGGCCAGCCCTGATACCTGGCATCATGCTTAAGTCCCATCCCAGGATGACACTGAGGGCCATGTCTGGGTCCATGGCTACACAGCTGCAGGGGACAATGTCGATGTCCGTGCCTCATAGTAGCCCATGGGGACTTCCTCGGTTGGGCAGCTGCCTGCGACCACATGTATAGCCAGGGGCTGTATGGAGCCGGCTCCACCTCTCAGCTGCAGCAACACTCTGAAGAGCAGCACTGTGCCTGGGGTGGGGGTGGGGGACAGAACAGCACAGTGGAGCTGACCCTGGTGGCAGTGGTGTGGGTGAACCAGTCCCAAGGGTGTGAATGTGGGAGAACTGACCGCACCCTTTGTCTGTCATGGCGTGATGAGGATGTGGGAACGATGCCCTCCTTTTCCCTTGCCCTTCACTAGTCTGGAAAGCTGGCCCCTGGGTCATGAGTGTCCCTGGCTCCCACTGACTGCGGTATTTGGAAGAGTGTGTCCCACACCCTGACTGGGCAGCACAGTATAGCTGGCCCTGGTGGCGAGGGTGAGGGTGAGCCGAACTCAAGGGCATGAGAACAAGAGAGTTGACCCTACCTTCTGCTGATGGAGGCATCAGGCGGCCTAGCTGGAGAGCTATCCCTGGTGGTGTGGATAAGGGAAAACTGTTACACTGAGTTCAGCTACCGCCCAGGTCCAGATCCAAGGCTCTGAGTTGGCCCATCCCAAAATCTATATCACCTATAAATGATTGGGATGTGTGAAAAGGACCAATTCTGGTGACTCAGGGCTGCAGGATCTCCATGACACAGAGCAACAACAGGATAACTTGGGAGAGTCCCAGTGAGGATCCCATTTTGATGGTCTCACAGAAGCCAGAGTCCACTGACTCATTGCAACAAACATTTTAAGTGAAAATCTTTGGACAGGGGGAATCTTGTGGGACACACTGTGGCATATTACAATTTCCACAATGAGATGTTTTCTATGCTTTATTTTTTGTTTGTTGATATGGGTTTTTAATTTTTTGGGGGGGAGAAAGAGGTTGCAAAGGCAAAGGGAAGATATGAAGGCACAGGGAGATGAGCAGGACTAGGATACATGATATGAAACTCATACAGCGTCAATAAAAAGTTAAAAATA